ATATAAACCCCAAAAGGGTAAAGGTTCCTTACCCAGCTACTAAGCCCAAAAGGCCACCCTCACTATGGCTTCAGGGACCTAGTTCCATAATGGTGGCATAGATGGAGACGATGGGATATGCAAGGTGTAATGAAGTTTCAGTATACCAACTCGGGACCGTGATAGCGATGCGAATATTTATCAGGCCTCCGAAAAGGTCATAAAGGTCTGGGGTTTAGTGTTTCGCTGCCTATGGCTGGGATCCCAAGGAACAATCTGGATAACATTTTTCCACCTTTTTCTGGTCTGAATATGGAACCCCCAGACCAAAACGTTCAAAGGGTCTGGCCTTGCCCTAGCCTCCAAAGTCTTGCGAGCTCTCTAAACCCCACGGCCGGCAGCCGTGCTCAAATCCTGCGAAACAAAAGTTAGGATATCTTCTGATGACTCCATGTCTACTCCTTAATGATTCGACTTTCAGGGTGTAATGTAGGGGCCTTAANNGGTCCATTGTACCATAATTTTAATAAGGTACCCCCGCAAAAAATAGTGCAGGTAATTATTAAGGCCCCTTCAGTAAGCACAAAAGCAACCAGCTGCGTCCATCCTCGAGGATTGGAGGCTTCTCACTCCTTCTTGTGGGGTCCTCCGGCCTCACAGAACGTCGGTCGATGGTTTCGGGTAACAGGGTTTCGGTGTTTCGGGTTAGTGTCTAGGGATTCGGGTTTAGGGTTTGGGGTTTAATAGTTTAGGGTTTCGCGCTTCGGGCTTGCGGATGAAAAACGAAACAGACATCGGGAACATAACTCTCTGTCGTGCAGAGGTTTGAATACTCTACTTGGTACTACTATACCCTTGTAGTCCCGGATGTAATCAAAGTGTGCTGTGGAGGCTCCTAGATGCCAGGGGGCTCTGGCACTGAGAGGCTTCACGTTGTGTTATTTGAGCAATCCGATTCAAGTTGTAGAAGGTTTAGGACTCTTTCTTAAGGTTTACCCTAAACCCGAAAAGCCCGAAACCCCAAACCGTAGGGTTTAGGGGGTGATGCTGTGGCGCCAGGCCTTCCTTTGTTTCGTTTGCCGTCGGTCTTCCTGTGATTTCTTTGGTGCTCCACGACTCTACTCCTCCGAGAAGATTAGCAAAAACTAGCCTCGTCATGTAGTTCTGGTTGGCCAAACGTACAGAAGCCAAAATACACCAAATCCATCAAGACTAGCTTGTTGTTTTCTGTCTGAGAAATCATCAAATCTCTGAGGCGCCCTCCAACAATCAGTGCTGGATGGCTTAGGATTGTGAAGGTTAGCATAAAGGGAACTAAAATGTTCCGATCAGGGTTACTATAGCAGTTACCATGAAGGCTACCATAAAGGTTACCACAGGGCTCCGCAATACTGCTACAATATAATACTTGGAATTGCATGTGAAACCCAAAACCCTACCGTTTTGACTGACTCGTGTGTCTTCTTGAAAACGCCCCATATGGGGGTTTCCGAAAATAGGGGGCCCTAAGATAGTACCCCAAATAGTAGGATCCTTATTATAAGGACCCCCCAAATTCAAGCAACCCCTTATTTTCAGAAACTCCCATAGAATTTTACAGCCAGGACAGTAGCCTTCTTCAACTATGGTGGGGTTATATAAACCCCAAAAGGTTAAAGGTTACCTACCCAGCTACGAAGAAAACGCCCCCACAGGTTATCCTGAACCCTAAACCCTAAACCGTCCTGGTTCAGTCGTGAGGCTTTGTCTTTCGAGGCGATGCTGTTCCAATGCCCAAGTTGCAGAGACGGTCTTGCCTCGGGCTTCCACTGTAAAGTAGTCTATAGGGTTTAGGGTTTAGGGTTTAGGGGTTAGGGTTTAGGGTTTAGGGGCGGTTTAGGGTTTAGGGTTTATCTATCTTCCGGTG